TTAACTGAACTGAACTTAACTGAACTGAACTGAACTAACTGAACTGAACTAACTTGAAATGAACTGAAATGAACTGAACTGAAATGAACTGAACTGAAATGAACTGAACTGAACTGAACAGAACTGAACTGAACTGAAACTGAACTGAACTGAACTGAACTGAACTGAACTGAACTGAACTGAACTGACTGAACTGAACTGAACTGAAACTGAACTGAACTGAACTGAACTGAACTGAACTGAACTGAACTGAACTGAACTGAACTGAACTGAACTGAACTGAACTGAACTGAACTGAAATGAACTGAACTGAACTGAACTTAACTGAACTGAAGTGAACTGAACTGAACTGAACTGAAACTGAACTGAACTGAACTGTAACTGACTGCAACTGAATCTGACAAGATATCTGAACTGAACGAAACTGAAACTGAACTGAACTTAACTGAACTGAACTTAACTGAACTGAACTTAACTGAACTGAACTTAACTGAACTGAACTTAACTGAACTGAACTTAACTGAACTGAACTTAACTGAACTGAACTGAACTGACTGACTGAACTGAACTGAAACTGAACTGAACTGAACTGAACTGACTGACTGAACTGAACTGAACTGGACTGAACTGAACTGAACTGAACTGAAACTGAACTGAACTGAACTGAAACTGAACTGAACTGAACTGACTGAACTGACTGAACTGAACTGAACTGAACTGACTGAACTGACTGAACTGAACTGAAACTTGAACTGAACTTGAACTACTTGAACTGATGACTGAACTGAACTGAACTGAACTGAAACTGAACTGAACTGAAACTGAACTGAACTGAAACTGAACTGAACTGAAACTGAACTGAACTGAACTTAACTGAACTGAACTGAACTGAACTGAACTGAGCTGAGCTGAACTGAACTGAACTGTACTGTAGCTGGCTGAGCTGAGCTTGGCAGCGAGCACAAGATCAATTCTGGTAAAAAATGAGGCCTTTTCAGGACATGGTGTTTGTGATGATTGAGAATGGCAGCCCTTCCAACTTTGGCACCAGTGTTGCATTGATGAGCAAGCTCGCACCACAGTCGTGCAGTTTTCCAGGACCACAACTTGTTTGGCCAAGAGTTGCAAGTTTTGACCAGTGAAGCCCAGATGTTCCAGACTCTCAGTTTGTTCCAAAGGCAGTTGTTTCCACCTGTCTCTACTAGTCAACCGTTTGGTTGAGAAGCATTGTAGGATGGCGTGCAGAGACTGTTTGTGTCTCGCTTTAAATATGCATAGTAGTAAGGATCTGCGTGCCTTTGATGTGATTGTCATGGGTGACTTGGAATTTGCACATGCTCATGGAGCCTTTTTAAAAGAAACAGTAGATGGATACGTATCTACCTGGAAACCATGGAGACAGCCTCAGGCATTGATTTTGCTGACGCATAGACCGGCTAGTAACTACATTTTGCTAAAGTGGCGAGTGCGCCAAAGCCAATTACTTTGGTTTCGCTTGAAGCACAGGCAGCATTGTTGGCTCCAACATGTTCAAGCACTAGGCCAAAACTACCAGCACAAACCATTGCATATTAAAACTACTCTGGATTAGATGTACCGGTACCGGTAGAGGCCACTCATGGATAACTTGGTGGAGACTAAGAAAAGGGTCCAAATGAGGGATTGCATGGGAAATATGTAGAAGCGCCCAGAACTGTGGAAGGCTGACTTTTCAGATGAATATATGAACGCAAAGCTGAGACCAGAGAGGATTGAAGATGCAGTGCTTGTGGGCGGCGATGTTGAGCGCAAACATTTGGTAAGACCATCTTGCCAGGACAAGGCACTAGCACGGGATGAGGTAGGAGGCCAGAGATGGTGTGTAATGAGAGGTGACACCACTGGTACGAAGGAGACCAGGTAGGGCAGACCCACCCATACTGTCAATCACACAGGAGTCCAAAGAAAACTAAATGGGATTTCATGCAGCAACATGCAAGTCGAAGGTGACTATCCATATAGAAGACGAGAGACCTTACTGGAGTAAGGCTGATCTCGAAGCATCTGACATTGCTATCAGAGCTCAGCCCCAGCTTTTGCCATCTCGATGTCCCCACTGGCCATGACTGGACACGATGCGCAACTTGGTGAGCTACTAGTACATCAAGTGGAGACAATAATGCACTACGCTAAAAGCTAGTGTAAAGATCTTTCGAGTGTTTTGAGTTTGAGAGAATGAAAGTTATGAGATGAGATTAGAAAGCTACGAAAACTAATCCATGAGAGAGATCGTTGTGAAGCTCATTGAAGTTTGTCTCCCTCGGGAGGCCTCTTAGTGTGATATCGTAGGTTATGGCAATAACTCTATGTACTCCACGGTCCAATCCCGGAACGCGTGGAAACTTAAGCTAGTAGATGTCTAGTGCGTGACTTTCCACCGGATTAATATTAGAAGCGATGTTTTCATCGACAATCCTAGTATGTACTGCAGTCATTGAGAACCCTGTCTCAATGACTATTCGCGAAGGACTAGTCATGAGTTCAACTCAAACCCTAATCTAGGATCGAGTCGCGAATAAGGCTAAGAGCGTTGTATTGCATTCGCCCCCTGACAAGGTCACAGAAGGCGCGACATCAGTCGGAGAAGGAGAACATATGAATAAAGTGCGGGGCACTCCCCGGAGATTGGATGTAGACATGTGCGTCGCACGAGGGCAATACTACAAGGGGATCAGGCCTCTTGTATTGGTGTAAATACCTTATGTTCCAAGTCTTGTATACTGTGCCGCCATTTGCGGTAGCATGTCGGAGCCGTACAGTGCCATTGTTATTTACTCGGTCCATATTGTAATGACCTTTGTACTTTTGCTTACTTGCGGTGCTGATACTGTTGATACCTCACAGTATCGTTGACATTGTATTGATGAGGGAACCACGCGTCGCGTGTTCCTTATCAGTGTGTTTCTGGATTAGTCGTTGTCGACGTTTTTTGATGTGTTTCCATTTTACTTCGAAAAGGACGTTTGTTGAATCGCGGTCACGATTGAAACGTGTGTTAATGAACTTGTACGAAGTCCATATTCATCGCGGAGAGTCTTCTTTCGACCTTTGCGCGGAACTCACGTTCGCTATCCATGATAACCTCAGCAGTCCATGGATACTGGGTGAGCCACGTCTGTTCTAGAACGATGGCTACTTCGTCTGCTGCATTGGAGCAGATCTCGGCATCTATTTTCTTGGTTACGGGTTGGATTCCTTCTCAATAAGTAATCCAGTAGCTTAGATACTCAAGTTCTCTTCTTTCGAAGAAGGACTTGTTAGCATTGATCTTAAGTCCGGCTTCTCGAAGCCTTTAGGAGAACTTCATCTAACTATTCAACGTGATCTACCAGATCGCCGTTAGTTAGGATGAGTTGATCATCAATGTATGCACGGAACATTTTCCCAAGTCGTGCATGAGTGATTCCCTCTTCCTTTGGAAGATGTCTGGGCTATTACATAGGCTCATCGGTACTCGTTGGTATTCGTATTTTCTGAATCCGTCTAGATTCAAAAGCATGTCTTGTATCTTTGAGATCGGACAATGGTTTTAGCTTAACCTTTTTGTTCAGTTCCCGGACGTCCGAGATGAACCGTTTAGATCCATTCTTTTTGGGTATGATAAAAGTTGGTGCCTTCCACTCGGAACGGTTTACTTTCTTAAGTGCTCCTGCATCGCAGAGACGTTTCGCCCTCTGTCTTAAGATTGTTGGTATGGACCCGTGGTATAGGGTAAGCCCTAGGTGATAGGTTAGCATCAGGTTGAAGTTCTACTTCGTAGTCGTCCGTTTGTCGCTTTCCTAAAGTACGTTTGAATTGGTCGGAGGGCCAACCTTGGGGGTTAAAATAAGGGCATGAAAGGCGGATAGTTCGCTGAAGCTTTTTTCCCTAAATATATTCTTATCTTCTTTGGTTTTTTGTATCTCGCGATTCTATTCAGTTCAGTTCAGCTCAGCTCAGCTCAGATCAGCTCAGCTCAGCTCAGCTCAGCTCAGCTCAGCTCAGCTCAGCTCAGCTCAGCTCAAGCTTCAGCTCAAGCTCAAGCTCATTCCCATCTCAGCCCTACTCAGCCCTACTCAGCCCTACTCAGCCCTACTCAGCCCTACTCAGCCCTGCTAGCCCAGCTCAGCTGGCTGGATCCATCCCTTTTACTTGCCATCGCATTTGCTACATCCAACAACTTCGTCTGCTTCCAGAGGTTGCTGGAAAGAACTACTTCCTACTAAGCTATTAAGAATAAGCTACTAAAAGTCACATCATGGACGCTTCCGCTCTGCTTGCTTCTATTGACAACCCAGTTCCGACCAGCAACTGGACTGTTTCCAAGCTTGAAGTATTGGAAATTATGTTGATGGCCAAGGCAGATCTGGCAACGGTCAAAACGTGCTTGAGTCCTGCCCGGAAGCTCCGACCGAGCGACTCCTTGCCAATGTCATCAAACACGGAGCCAAGCCCGGAGTGATTGGTTTTCTCGCCGCCAAACAACCAGAGTCGGTAGACGAAATTCTCCAGGAGACTGAGAAGAGGGCAACCATCAGTGAAGTCAACGCGGAGGCCAAAAACCTCAAGAGCAGCAGCAAACTTCCTTTGCTACGTGTACCGGTACTACCGATTTACACAGTGCTGAATTGGCTGGGGCGCCAGAAAGCATGCAGTTCTGAAACTACAAAAGCTGAATTTATGGATCTGCTGGCAAAAGTACAAAACGACACAGTACTCTTTCGAGAGGATGTGTGCCAAAACCCTGCCACACCAGAAGACAGATATGACATTCTTTATGCACTTCTTCGAGAAAACCCAGACAGATGGAGTTCCAACAACTCTCAGGGAAGCTTGAAGATGACTAGAAGTGGAAACAAACGAAAGCATAGTGCAATTTCATGATTGGGTCATGTTGCTTCCTATTGGGGCGGGTGGAGGATAGATCAATCTATTGTCATTTTTCTGCGCACAACAACCTCCACACGCAGTAGGTGTTGATGGGCCTAATGGAATGCTCTCTCATTATAGATTATGGTTTGACGCAACAGTGCTGCTATGATCATCTTTTTACATGATTCCTCTACTCTAAACGAAAGCACGGTTCCTTCTTCGTTTCGACTTTTGGAAAGGATTCGATGAATGGCATATACAGTAGCTCGGCGACAAAAGATTGGCGTGGTATATTGTACAAATTGCCTATTCATGGACAGATTGGTACTACAAAAAACCAAAACCAAACAAACACCGAAGCCTTACGGTTAGGCACATCAAGAACAGCGTCGTCCCGAAAGACTATCCCTCTCTCCAATCTTCATTCTGGTCGTATCGCACTGGCTCGTAGATTGTAGTAGTATCCACAAAAGTGAATCTTTGTTGCACTGTTCGGATAAGCACTGGTGCCAAATTGTTGCATTCTCAGTCGTCACCATCGTATTCTGCATTCAAGTCCAACATGTCAGGCATTGCGGGCATAACGAGCTCTGGTAATTCTTCTTCAGCATGGCCAACGATAGGGCCGCACTCGTCTTCAAAACCAGGGAACCGAAATCCTACCATTCTGTCGGCTTCAAATGAAACCTCACCACTTGGGCACTGAAACTTGATCTCAAAGTGAGGACTTCCAATCTCCAAGTTGAATCCTTGAGAGCCAGTAAGTGCCATCATTTTGTGAATATAATCATCCGGAGGAGCCCTTATCGTCAACCCAACCAAGTCTCCCACAATTGGCATTGTTTCGCAAGGATGTTCTGAATTTCCCCAATTGATAAAGAACGGCGCGATACCACCCAGCCTATGGCCGTACAAAAAGAGCATTTCCCATTTGCGTCGAGTGCCATCCTGATTCGCTCCCGACATGCCAATGACATCTGGTGTGTAGCCAATGTTCCTCAATGAGGGCACCATGGCTTCAGCGTCCGACGTTCGAATTGCCCAATGAAACGGGGTTAAACCGGTGAGACCTGTGGATCGAAGGAGTGTCCCGATGGGCCCATTACTGTCAGGATCCGGGGCAATGATTTCGAGAAAGGAGGGTCCTTCGAATGTCACTCGAGCCGTCTTGATACCCAATCCTCTTATATGTCCCGAGACGATGGGTTCAATGCCCGTCTTTTCTTCAAATTCTTCGATTGCCGTAAACAGCTCGGGTGCGGCCAGAACCACGTGATCAAGATAGTTCTGAGGGAGTTCAATCTCTCGTTTCGACCAATTACTCGAGGATGAGCTACTGGAACTGGAGGAACTATTGTCGTCCGTATTGGCGTCTTCCGTCAGGCCCTCCAGTAGAGCCTTGATTTCATCATCTTCGGCGCTAGTACTGGCTTTTGGTTTTTCATCGTCACTGCTATCCACGAAAACGGCGCTGGAATTGCCAGCCGAAGCGATGGGCACGGGTGTGAAATCCTCCACGGCAGGCTCCTCCAATTCTTTCGTATCGGGCAAGTCCACTAGTTCGGAGGGATCGATAAAGGAGACTGTGGATTCTTGTCCCGGAATGACTATTTTGCTGGTACTCTTTCGCTTTTTCAAGTCCTTTCGTTTGCTCTCTTTCTTACTCTCCTTCTTGCTCTCCTTCTTGGGTTCCTTCTTACTCTCCTTCTTGCTCTCCTTCTTGGATTCCTTTTTGGATTCCTTCTTGCTATCTTTCTTGGATTCCTTCTTGCTGTCTTTCTTGCTCTCCTTTTTACTCTCTTTCTTACTCTCCTTCTTGGAGTCCTTTTTGCTTTCTTTCTTGCTCTCTTTCTTGGACTCCTTTTTGCTATCCTTCTTGCCTTCCCTTGTACTCTTCCTTCGCTCCTTTTTCTCTCCGTCGCCGTCTTCTCCCATCTTGTAGGATTGTAGAATAAGTTGATTGAATGAAAGTGCTCGAGATGCGGTTGGCTTCTTGATATTCTCTCTTGAAACAGATACTGTAGCAACACCAGGGGAAGCAGGCAACAGCAACAGCAACAGAGGGAGGTGTTTCCAAACAAGGGAACAACAACGTGGCTGTGGGCTGAAGAAGGAAAGGAGGCAAAGTCGGTCGAAAAGAGCGAAGGTCGCCTTTTGGATTTCTGAAATGGTGCTAGTAGGGTGGGGTCACCTTCAAAAGACATCTGGAAAAGATACTTATAGACTTGATGACGTCATAAAGATCTTACCGTGACTTCTCCCTCCAAGAGCAGTCGCAAAAATTGGTACGCAACGGCAAGACTGGGACTTCGAGCTTTTGCTTTGGAAGAGGAAAGTAGACTGGCACCGATACCAGTAGCTACGATGGGCTAGCATATGGTACCAGTACCAGCACTTCCACCCCAGCCAGAACCTATTATTGGATAAAATGAAGCATTACGTTGCTTCGGAAGTCGACGCCATGACGCTTCTTGGGTGTGCTGATGAAGCCAGTAAGCCGCACTCCGAACTAAATTTTATTAAAATGCTACAAACACGAAACTAATATATATGTTTTCCATCCTGGGATCTGAAAGGAGAGCTTGCTAGCACACGCTAGCGCTAGTAAATTAATTTAACATCCATACACTGAAAACTATAATCTAGATTCTACCTTCACGCATCACGGCCAGTTTTCTAGCCCGGAGCAGGCCCACATCCACACACCTTCCATTTTTTTCTTTCTTTGCAAGACAAATTCAAACGCACAGAATACACACATTTTACTCGTCTCCACCTTCGTCTCCGCCATCTTCCTTCTTTTTGTCCTTTTTCTTTTTCTTCTCTTTCTTGTCGTCCTTATCCTTTTTCTTCTTCTTTTCTTTTCCGTCCTTTTTCTTCTTCTTTTTCTTTTCTCCGTCACCGCCTTCGTCGTCATCGCCCCCTCCTTCCACTGGCGGCAAATCGGCCACATCAGGGAGATCGTCCGGATCTCCGACCTCCAACATCTCGGGCATTTCTGGCATGGCAAATTCGGGCGCGGGAGCACCTTCTTCACCTTCAATAGGACCACACTCATCTTCAAATCCCGGGAACCTAAATCCAATCATACTATCCGCAGTAAACTCGACTTCTCCTTCGGGACTGTCAAACTTGACCTCAAACTTGGCAGTTCCTTCTTCCAACTGAAAGCCGGATGAGCAAGTCTCCTTGATGAGTGTATGGATAAGATCATCAGCTGGAGCTGTCACCTTGACATGTACCAAATCACCGACAATGGGCATGGATTCACAGGGATGATCCGAGTTATCCCAGTTAATGAAAAAGGGGCACATGCCCTTCAGCTTGTGCCCATAGAGATACAAGAGTTCCCACTTTCTGGGAGTTCCATCTTGACGTGCTCCAAACATGGAGATACAATCCGGGGTATACCCCAGCTTCTTGAAGGGGCCCGTGAGATCCCCCGTTTTGGAGTTTCGAATGGCCCAGTGAAAGGGCTGAAGACCAGTCAACCCCGAAGCACGCAACAGAGCACCGATAGGGCCTCCCTTTTCCGGATCGGGTGCAATAATCTCCAAGAAGGAATCACCCTCAAACGACACACGGGCGGTTTTGATACCGAGACCCTTGATCGAACCAGAAATTCGAGGCTCGATTCCCGTCTTTTCCTGAAACTCGATAATGGCAGGTTCCAGTTCTGGCGCTGCGAGAACAATGTGATCCAACACGTTATCTGGCAACTCGATTTCTCGTCGTTCGGGGGCGCTGCTAGAAGAAGACTGCTCGAGTCCGTCGTCGTCGTCATCATCGTCTCCTCCCATTTCATCGACAAAGCCAGCCAAGAGCTTCTTCATCGCCTCGTCCTCCTCGGTCTCTCCATTGTTGCTGGCCTCATCGTCCGACATGGTGGCTTCCTTAGAAAGGTACAATACAGTATCAACAAGAGAGATTGATGATGGGATCTTTTTGTGGTCTGTCCTCGAAAGAAGAAAAGGGGAGAGAACGAACTCATGATCAAGATCCAGGTTGATGACCCTTCTGTGTGGCTCCCAGTAGGATTCTACGTGACATGGTGACTGTGTAGCTCGGCTTGCTCAAGTGTCTTCGAAGATCAAGCTGCTGTGCAGTTTTACTCAAAAGACGGCAGGGCTGTTACAAAAGGACGTTTGGGCGATGGCATTCGCAGGCCTCACATGGCTCACTGAGAATAAATGAGGCCACGCTACAGTCGTACGGACGCAACAACCAACCCAATGCCGATCGTCACGAAGATTGATGCAAAATCCCATAGGAGGTCTCACTATTATTCACGTCGCATGCAAGAAGAGCCCCGGATCTCTTCCTCCTTTCGGCAAGTGGTCGATCGTCATGAATCAAAACAACAACAACAACAACAAACGAGGCTATGCCATTGAAGATGGTGTCCAAGCCCAAAAGAAACCCAAGCCCGATCTTGCTGGCCAGGGAGGAAATACCAGTAGCCGGGAATGTTGTGAGTGCAATATCATAAAGTGCCGGGGTGACTTTAGTAAGAAGCAGTGGAAAAAAGGGAACAACGCTATTACCTGCAACGATTGCAATAGTCGCGCTTTCTGTGGAACACCCAAGGGCAAGGCCCCCAAACCCACATTTTGCTGCCAAAGTTGCAAAGTCGCCAAGACCATCCAAGGGTATGCAAATGATCAAAGGCAGGCCTTTAGAATGAGTGGTAAAAACGTACAGAATATTGGTACTGACAACAAGGACTGCCCCATTTGCATCGAATGCATCATCAAGATGCCCAGAGTATGCAAAAGGTGCAAGGAAACAAAACCTGTGGCAGAGTTTTCGAAATGTCAACAAATTCTCCCGCGCGAACTGACCGCATACAATCATCAGAGTTTGACCATTAAGAAGTACAAGTCCATGGACATGGCACTGTGTGTGCCATGTGAAAAGCTGGACCAAGATGAGAAACAGAAGGCAGCAGATGCCAAGGCAGCTCACGAACGTGCCATGATGGAAAAGCACAACATTCATTTCTATGACCTTCCCGATTAATTGGAACCTCACTTCAGCAGTGAGAGTATCAAACCGGAAAGCTTGGTGGGCACCTATGACGTTATTTACCATCATGGATCCTGCGATGAATTCACTGAAAATCGAACCACCAAAGGAACCTGCAAGTTCTGGTTGACGACCAACGAAGAAAAAGCTTCCAATCGATTCCGCAAGGAGGATGACGAGGATAATGAGGACTTCGAGGACGACGTTGTTTCTGGTTTGGTTCAGTTTGAGAAGGAACTCCAACTGAAAGACGATTATATCTTTCAGAAGGACTACACTGTGGGATCTGCTAATGGTACAGACTTTACAACCAGTCTTGTTGATGAGGAAGGCCGTGACCAGGTTGAGTGTAGCATGGACGATGAACCCATCATGTCTGACTTGTCTCAAGTTGTCACCCGAGTCGCTTGTCCATGGATGAAACATGAAATGAAAGATAACGACACCGAGGAAGGTGACATTGCCAAGTTTGAGACTCTCAAAGAAGCTGAGACTTTGATGGAGCAGCATGAAGAAAATGGCCACTCCAAGAATCACAACATAAGACCAGTGTTTTTCCTGGAGCCAGGAGATCTAGTCCTTCAATCCTCGTGGGGCAGCGATGGTTTTTGTGAATCGGTACATACCATTTCGATTCTCCGTGCTCGCAAAGCAAACTAATCTCTTGTTGGAACGGGGATGGAATGATTGTGTCAGTTTGTCAAGGCAGACCTTTAATGCACTGTAATTTCGGATCCTTGCAATGGTGCCTATTAATGGCAAACATTTTAATGCCAGAGCAATCTCTTCTGTTGACCCCTTTCTTGATCTCCGTAGATTAATTGTTTGTGTTTTTCAACAACAAGCTGCTAGCGATGGTATCGTCTACCCAGCCATAGCTACGAGTCTTGTGCATGAACATGACCAAGAACAGCTATTGTCTCAACTTTGCAAACAAGGTCGAATTGTAGAAAGGTCTATTGTCTGTCTACTAGACGAATCACAGTTCCGGTCAGCACTTGTAGATTGCCTAGCTAGCTAGACTAACAAGAACCTAAGCATTTCACTTCCCAAACGTAGTGATCTGGCTTGGATTATTTTCTGCCATCAATAAACTATCTATGTGCATGCGGCTACCGCTTTGTCTAAATTGTTTCTGCAATGGCATCGACCGTCGTTCCATCTCTCTCGTAGCCGCATGTCGCGTCCGTGCATCTTGTTCATCACCTCCTAACTTCTCTACCGATTCCACCAGAGCTCGCTTTGATCCAAGTCACGACTACTATTGATATCTTTCATGTAGATTTGGGAGGCACGTTTGTGATTGTATGTAGCTTGTCGGCTGGGCGGCAGCTTGTCTACCGTGACCTGAGTGAATCCTCTCTCAACGAACCATTCCATGGTTTGCGTACTGAGCACAAACACGGTAGTGGCCCCATTCAGAAAGCAGAGTCGCTCCAAGTAACCCAACATGGCATCACCTCTGCCTCTTGCTCGGTACTCTTGGTTGACCACGAGGCACCCAATCTCGGCATACCGTTTGACTTCTCCTTCAAAGATTTTCAATTGTCCACATGCCACAATGAGCTCATCTCGTGTAAAGACGTAGTAACTGTCAACATCTTTTTCGAGCACCGCCTTGGGCCGATCGACCAGCGTGCCCATTTTGATGAGTGGGTAGATGAGGTCATAAATATTGCTGACATCGTTGACATTGGCTCGTCGAATTCCTTCGTAGAGATCTCGACTAATCAATGCCCCACTTCCGTCGCGCGTGTACAGTTCCTGTAGAACCGCACCAAACTTGGGGCTGATAATGTGGGCACGCTTGACCCCTTGTTCCAACGCCATGGTGGCCCATCCAATCTTGATGAGCATATCCGTTTCTGGCAATAGTTCATCGGAGCGTTCTCCCACCGTCACAAATCCTCGTTTGTGGATTGTCACGTCGTTGTGCTTCATCAGGTTTCGTGCATCGGAAAGGCGCAAATTCTGAATCTTGTTGCCATGAACTTTGTGTCGCAACTCCATTTCTTGTTCGGTAAAGTAAATGACTTTGGAGGCATCCAAGGCACCTGCGACCGTTGCCGCCAGTGCTTCCGAATTGACATTGAATACTTCTCCACTGGGACTGACTCCCAACGTGGTGAGCAAACAAATATCGCGACCGGCATGCAATTGTCGAATTTTCTCCACTTCCACCTTGCGAACAAATCCCGTGTATTTGTAATCAATTCCATCCAACACGCCAAAGGGTTGTGCCGAATAAAAGTTTCCCGACACGACATTGCCATCGACATGATCGCTCTTGGCGCCCGTGTTGTTGTCGTTGTTTCCACCCTGCATGCGCAAGGATCGTGCCAATTGACGTTCCACTTCGAATCGGACATAGCCAGCTTCTTCCTTTACGACCCTAAGTGTTTCCGCATCCGTCACGGGGATTCCAAAAAAGCGGGTTCGTTTGGGAATGCGTTTTTCAATTTGCCGACGACATCCCACGACGAGTACAATTTTCATGCCGAGCAACCATGTGAGGGCAATGTCGTTTGTCAAATCTCGAAAGACAGTGGGATCGGGCAAATCGAGGAGTCCACCGGGAATGTGATAGACGGCCAGTGTATTGCGATGATTGGCAATGTAATTGGCACTTCCGCGAAACATACTGACAAAGGGAAGACCCTTCATCATGGCTTCCAAACTACTGGGACGAGAGGCTTGGCCATTGGCAGTGTCAGTGTGGTTTTTGGTAGGAACTTGGACGATATCCACCACGGTGGGATCCAAGGAGAGCAATCCCGAGGCATCCAGAGTTTCGGGTAACGGTGGAATGACACTCGAGGCTTCTTTCTTCTTTTGTGCCACTACTAACTGATCTCCCGAGCCGTTGGGATCGGTCATTGTGGTAGTATTTTGGTCCAGAACCGAAGAAGAGGTATCTGTAGTATTCCGTTGGGGTTGTTCGCCTCCCAAACTAGAAGTATCATTCTTGACCACCAAATCGGCGGCTGCAGAAGAAGAAGAGGACGTGTTATCCCCACCAGTTGAAGAGGCAAAGTGGCGCGAGGAGATGATGGGTAGCGGATTATTACGGATGGGTAGCAGCAATATCCGAGAAGATGTTCTTGGAGCGATGGTCGTGAATCCATGAACCGAAGGGGCCACACAGGCCAGTGCCGTCACGTAGTAGTTGGATATTCTCATTGTGCCAATCGTATTATTATTACTTTCCAGTTTCTTCCACAACAGGGAGTTTCTTCCACTTCTTCTTGCCAGCAGCTTTTGAAGCAACGTGATGCTCATCAACGAGAAACCAAATACAGTACCTTCTGTTTAATTGAATTTTCAAGCTCCTAGTAGACACGGCGCCATCAACACTATTACAATATATTCTTTCTTCAGTTAGTTTGGCTTGCAAGAGAGGAGTGATGACACGATGCTTTTGTCGGAAGCTTTTGTTTGTGCATTCTCATCGCACTTTGAAGATCTTGACTGGTTGGGAAACGACGGAAGCAGCGTGCGAAAGATCTAGCTTGATGCCGACCGTTACTGGCTTGAGCTGGATTGATAAAATATTATTGTTATTCTAGTCTTTGGTCGTTGAAGACCAATGCTGGCTGCCAGCCGACGGAAAGGTCCCGCCTAAAAGGGGACATAAGCTAAAGCCGCTAAGAGAAGGAGACGTCTCTACTAGCTAGAGCTACCGGTAGCAGGTACTGGTAGCATCATACAAAACAAACACACCATGAATGAAAGCGGTGGAGACAACAACAAACGTGGCCATGCCACTGAAGCCAGTGATTCTCTCCAAGCCAAAAAGAAACCCAAGCCGACTCTGGACACTCAAGCAGTTGATACTATTACTACTAGTCGGAAGTGTTTGCTCTGTGAAAACACCAAATGTCCTGGCAACTTGAGTCGACAATGTGCGAATTGCAAAAACACCAAATGCTGTACCAGTGGCTTCAGCAAGACTCAGTGGAAGGAAGGGGACACAGCTACCGTTTGCATTGATTGCGAGGCTTGCCCTCGTTACAGTTTCAAGCTAAGAGAAGCCAAGAAACTTGCCGAGAAAAAAGCCCAAAGAAAAGCCAGAAGCAGAAAGAAGAGAAAAGCCTCCAGACGCGAAATTTTTTGCCAAAAGCCAACCAAATTCTATGCCTGCCGTGTTTGCAGGCAGATGCAGGACAGGAAAGGATATGCCACGGATCAAAAAATTGCTTATGGCATGCTCGCCAAAAACGAGAAAGAGGACATGGACAGGGATATGGGAAATGGCCCCATCTGTTTGCAATGCATCCTCAAGTTGCCAAGACCGTGCAAGGATTGTAAAGAAACAAAACCGCTGGACCAGTTTCCGGAAGGCCAGTGGCAACGTAACCCGCTTTGGGGGAAATTGACCATTGAGACATACTACTCCCAGCCGTTTTCTCGTTGCTTGTCCTGTGACGTGGTCAAAGCCAAGGAAGACGAGGAACAGCACAAAGCAGAAGAGGCCAAAGCCAACGAAGAGTGCCCGGCCGAATTCAAGGATCCTATCATGAAGCAAGAGCCCAAAGCAGCTTGTGAACATCCTATCATGAGGAAACACAATGCTCAGTTTTGTGATTTGGACTGTTACTGTCACCTATGTGAGCCCCATTTAGTCGACCCAGGGAGTGTGGTGGCTACCTGTGAGTCAAATGGTGGAAACAATGGTTCCAATGGGAATGACAACAACAATGGAAACCAGAACAATAGTGACGGTTCACGCCACAAACCTCCCAAGGAAAACGAGCCTCATACTCGCACCAGGAATGGTGTGGAGGAGTCCTGGTGTGACATTTGCACATTCTGGAGAAAGGGTGAACATAGGCATCTAACTGCTGGACATAGGACCCGTGAAAAGATAGCAGAGGACAAAGCAAAGGAAGAGCGCGAGGCCAAATTGAAGGCTCTTATCATGAAGCAAGAGCCCATTGCAGCGTGTGAACATCCGATCATGAGGAAACACAATGTTCAATTTTATGAAGTTCCCAAATTGGACTTTCGCCAAACCTGCCCCAATTTAGTCAACCCAAGGAGTGTGGTGGGTACCTATGACATTATCTACCATCATGGAGAGTGGAGTGGTGGACAAGATGAAAGTCGTACCACAAAAGGAACCTGTAGGTTCTGGTTGACGACAGATGAAGAGATTGGTGCAGCGAACAATGAAAGATCTCTTGAGGCGGTTACTCATGCTCGGGATGACGAGAATATTTCGGGTCGGATGGAATTTGATAAGGAACTCCGGCTTACACACAATGCCTGCTTTCAAAAGGACTACACTTTGGGTTCTTGTGATGGATTTGTCTTCCAGACCATTCTGGAGAATGAGGAATGTGATGCCACTGGGAATAGGTATATGGGCTATGAACTCAGCAAGTCGTTCTTGTTTCGAATTCACAGACGTGTGGCTTGTCCGTGGATGAAGTATGAATTCAGTGAGCATAATAGAGAGGAGGGTGATAGCGTTAAGTTTGAGACTCTAGAAGAAGCAGAGGCTTTGATGGAGAACTATGAAAAGGGCGACCCCAAGCATTGGCTTGCCCGGCACACATGTTTGGTTCCAGAAGTGATTCCGCCAATTCGCCAGTTTCTTATCCAGCAACGCAAACCAGTGCTTTTCTTGGAGCCTGGAGATCTAGTCCTCAATACCACGTGGGGCGACACCAGGTTGCGCTGTGATACAAGCTGCATCCTTCGTCGGCGCAAAGAAGAATCCACACAGAGTTGTCACAATCATAGCAGTGTTGCATCCGAGAGCCGTTGCGTGGTAACAATGTTAGCAAGTGAGTCTCGTTCCTTGCGCCGGTAGGTCACCGAGAAGTTGCGTTTGAATAATTCTATTCTACTCGATTGAACCCCTTTCCTGGCCATATCTAGTAGCAGTCTTTTTGAGTCAATGTGTGTTCTAACTGATGTTGCATTAATATTGTCGTGCTATTTGAGATACTAGTACTTTGAAGCGAGGGAGACTCTGGAGTCAATCGTCCACTGAAATGATTTTGCCTTGTGCATCCGCCTCTTTGAACTTTTGATCGACAAGTTCCTGACAGGTGAGAGTCTGCCCCACGGAAACATCATCGTCACTGATTTCAATGGGACAACTGGTCGAGGTCCCTTCCAACCGACGCCGATGGCTCTCTCCGCTGCGTTGGCGGAAATGATATTGCGCGTGACCCAGCAAACCGTTGTAGTAGCCCTCGCGGTCCACATTATGGGTAACAGTCTGATCGCCCATCGCTTCTAGCCGAAGTGGCAGTCCGCTGGCCAAGACGAGAGCTTCCCCTGCATCAGGATGATGGTAACCGACATCGTAGTATTGGCCCTGGGCTGCCGGTGGGTAATATAAAGCGAAACTTTGCATGGCCGGGTCGTACTGCGAACCGTAGGCGTCGCCACCGGCGAGCGGAACCGCGGCGTGCTGGTGAGCTGCATGAGATGGCACGTGGTGCTGATGATGCGTCGAGTGGCTGTAGTGATGAGCCGTTTGGGCAGGGGACTGCTGGTGATGAGGCGAGTGGCTGTAGTGATGGGTCTGCTGGGCAAGGGAGTGGGGCTGCTGGTGATGTAGCAAGTGGTTGTAGTAACTGGCCTGTTGAGCAGGCGAATTTGGATGCTGGTGATACTGGGACTGGTTAGGCACACTGCACTGTTCAAGAGGAACGGCGATGAAGTTGGGCTGCGCATGGTAAGGTGACTGGGCAGCCCCATTGCACTCTTGAGAAGGATAACTCAAAATGTAGTGCTGCATCGCGGGTTGTTGGTGAGTTCTGCAACGTGAATACCAGGTGTCTCTCTCTGTGAAATGAGCCAAGGATCAAGCGAGAATCTCACTTTCTTGCCGAGGAGGAAACCACTTGACCACCGTGGGGTTTCCGGCGTTTCCTCGGTGCATCCAACCTTCGGTTCGTCGAAAGCCAGTAGCTACAAGCCTTTGCAGTACCGTGGCAGAAACGGTTCAAAGCGACAAGGACTGTCGGATAAGGTCAGGTTGTCAGGTACGTTATGTCGCGATGGACTCTGACGACGGTTGAGTCGCCACGATTTCGACACACACCGGTAGAGCGTTACGTATTGCTGTGGCGAGGCTGCCCTCGTGGAAGCTCTTTTAGACACCATATCGGTACGGTACTACATGTAGCAGAGGTACGGACAGTCGAGTAGGCGTTTCTCGTTAAATCCGACTGCTATTGACTGGACGGGGTGTGGCATCAACCAAGGTTGGATCTCGTGGTTTCGTCGCTAGATACCGGTTATAGGCATCGTTTCTCACAACCAAAGTTGATTTCTTCGTTTCCCACGTATCGTTTCTCCCAAACCCTACGGGTAGTAGGAGACGAGGAAAGACAGAAAGGCACCGAGGGCAGACACGATTGTTCCTCGATGGACAAGCCACGACACGGCGGTGGAGGACGATGTCGTCGTCGTAGGGCAAGGATCCGTAGGCATTACATCGAAGAAGAGTTGGGAGCAATTGTGGGCAATATAGCTCAAAACACCCGAACGGCGCCGGGAGCGCCCCGCCGTGGTTCGAAAGATGGGTCCACTGAAAACTTCGTCACATTCGAGGCAGGCATTAAAGGGGCACTGGGGAGCATCCAGATTGGGTGGCTTTCCAATGAAATCCAGGCAGGTTGAGAGGCAGTTTTCTCGAGTGTGGATTGTGTTGTATAGCCATGTAGCAGCGCATCCTTTTGTGAATCCAATGCCTTCAAAGCATTCCTGCGCAGCGGTTTCATTGGAAATGGCAAGAGCCCCACATTCAAACCCAAGAGGCTCATATTGCAATTCCATGTAGACAGCCAGGTCCTGTGTAGAACTACAGGTCCCACATGCTATGTAGGTAGTTTAAAAGAGAGGAAACAGTAAGAAATACTCCAGGACACCAGCCATGTGAGTGTTTTTACAAATGCGTACCTCCATAATGCGTTAGAAAATATCCTTCGGCAGCGTCTAGCTCTTCTCGACTCGAAAATGTCTTGGTTTCATAGCTCGTAGAGCATCCACTTGTCTTATTCAGAGTGACATTGTTGTAGCGCATTCCACACACGGCAATATCATTATCTTGCACTCCTTCGATGCTACTTCCTTCAACGGAATCTGTCATGGTGCAATTATCTAGGTATGGATCGCAATCCAACACTATAGCATTTTCCCACTGCAATGCCTTCAGTCGACTGATATGCTCCGGCTCGAACCGGGTTGGCAAGGTAGCAGTAGTTGTGGAAGAAGGGCACTCTCCATCATCAGGCGTCACACAAACACAGCCGTCGCACGATGGCGGCATTTGTCCGTCTGAGGGAACGAGATGTGTCACATTTTCAGCGCAACTGCTTGTTGTTGCCATCGCGAAAAGCAGCAGTAGTCTTAGCAGAGTCATGATCCCTTCTGGTAAGATGATGAATGCTTCCTTTTTGGATCTTCTGTTTGTGTTCTGCCTTGCCCTATTGTCGCAGCGCCGAAGGACCCAAGTCGAAATATCTTTTTCTTGCCATATTTTGGCTGACATTTAGTTTATTTCTATTGTATTTGAACTGTTCTCACGGTTCCTTTCAAGTGCTACCACCATTGTATTCCACAAAACTAGCTAGAGATTGGGTTGGATACTGCTTCCACTGCTGCCCGTCTCCCACTGAGTGCCGCCGAATGAACCATTATCTCCGTGTCTGTCGCAAAAAAGAGCTTGTCTCCGACAGGTCTTTCAATAGTGGCACTGTCCGCAGAAAAGGCATAGGCCCCTCGGATAAAGGGCTGGTTGCTCCAGTTTTGAATCCTGTGTTGGATGTATTGCTTCGATGCCTCGCCATCGTAGAGTTGATCGAGTCTGGCCAGGACCGTCTCAAACAACTCCTTGTCACTCAACCTAGACCACTCGCGAGCGGGTTCACCGACACAAAAGAGAGTCATGAGGTTGCGGGACGTTTGATCTTTGCCAAAGACTCCATTGAAGAAGATACGGTAGTCATTTTCTGTTTGCAAGAATTGGGTGAGGGTTATATCCATTGTCATGTCGGTATAGAAACGTTCCTGAAACTCAATAAAAACCTTGAAGCCAGGGGCCCAATAGACCTCTTCCAGCGCTTTTGTCTTGTCGGCTGGCAGAGCTGGTGAGAATTGAATATCATGATCCTGTAGGACCTTCAATGGAACTGCCATGATGACCTTGCTTCCCGTGTACGTGACTCCATCTGCCGTAGTTACCGAAACATCACCTGTTTCACTGTAGTCGACATGCTGGACAACCGCATTGTAGACAATGTGGTCCTGGACATAGGGAACAATGTAGTTTTCCAACCATTGAGACCAGGTTGTGGATTTGAATTTGTACTCTTTGTAGAAGAAGCGCATCCAATTTCGTTGGACACGACGACCATGAGCCCACAAGGAGAAACTTTGGGGTTGGAATCCTATTGTTTCAATGTTGCTCTTGACGCTCTCTTGATCTGTTTCGATGAGGAGTAGATCTTGAAGGATCTGGGGGTTGGTATGTATCCATTCTGCCCCAATGTCGATAGGGACATCTACAAAGTCCTCCATGCGTTGGACACGGCCGCCAAAGGTGGGAGAGGCTTCGAGAATGGTGAATGGAACTCCCAGGTATTCCAGTGTGTAGCCGGCAAAGAGTCCCGAGGCTCCTGCCCCCACAATTATCACCTGACCTTCACCGTTGTACGCCTTTGGAACCGACTCATCTATCGGCGGGACATACGTTTTGCGATCAGCTTCTGCCAAGGAGAGGCGAGAAAGAACGATTGCTGAAATGACAAGGGCGACGACTGTCAGTCCCAGAAATCCAAGCAGATAGGCAAAGAGCTTGTTCATTTTCTGTTCAAGTAGTATTGTGTAATGTGTGTTTTAAAAGATGAGGTATGGTTTGTTTTGCTCTAGCGATTGTGTTTGTGTTTGTGTTTGTGGTGTTTTGTGAGATTCGATTGGGTACCGGTGGCATCAGATCGATCATCATTCCGCACCGTGTGAAGATTTTCAGCGGGAGTTGATTTGGTGGAACCGGCATGCACGAATTGTTAATCGCGATTTTAATAGGTAGGTGAGGTAAATATGGGTTTAGTATAAAGTAACTCTAAAGACTCCTATGAATAACTATGTTTACCACAACCACTGGTATACCAAAGCTGTCTTCCTGGTCACACCACGATCTACAAAAACCATCATGAACCCTGCACCAAGAATCAAACCATGCACAAGGTCATGATACTGTAGGCAACGAATCAGCACGCTAGTGTGGCTAGTGCAAACCATTGTGGCTGCTGGAGAATCTGGTTCAATGGGCTTTGCCGTATCAAGCACGCACAGAACAACTTCCTGAGCGGGGGAGGAGCAGCGGATACCGGTACGCTAGCTAGTTAGTAAATGCAACGATAGCTAGCAGTTCCAAATCAGCCAAACTCAGTGCCTCCAAGACTTCAGCCGCTCTTACAACCCCAATGACATTTTACTCAAAGAATCAGCTAGCATATCCTGTGCCCATTCAAGGCTATTCGTTGAAATTCCGTGGATCTTGGAACCTAAGCATCACTTCCATTAATTGACTGCCTCTCCTTTGTACTACTGAAGCTCCTACTGATCAAGTACCGACCTTCGCCTCCAGTCTCCAAACCGATGAAGCTCCGAGTCGAGTGACGAGTCAAGTCACTCAGTAAAAATGCATCCCCTCCAAAATGCTGACGGCTGATTCGAGACCTGAAGCCATCAGAAGGGAGCAAGGGGAAATGAGGCATTTGATGTCAAATTGACATTTTGATGTCATTATTGTCAATTGATGGTTACTAACACTTTTGACAAGACTCAAAACCGTCAATTTGTCAATGTAGATCAATTTGATCAATTGATGTCAACAAGAATCAATTTGTCAGTGTTGACATCAAAATATCAAACTGATCAACATTGATCAATTTTGACTTTGATTGACTCTAAATGACTCAAAAAATCCTCAATTGGATTTTGACAGTTTTCTTTGAAACAATTTTGATGTTTGCTTGACAGTTTGACTGATCCACAGTACTGGTACCACCCCTCCATCAAGATGATGGTATTACCTCGTTTACAGCCGCTACTCCTCTTTGCTTCATGGCTACTACTACTCCACCATGACAGGCTCCAATAGTTTGGTTAGTCAGACTGGCAGTGGAAGCGGCGGCGAGATTCTTCTGTTCGACGGATCGGTTCGATCTGATTCGGTTGATGACTACTTCCACAGCTCTGAGCGACGATGATGACTCGTTCACGGACTGATCATGACGCCTCTACAGCCGATGCAGCAAGCGGCTACTACTCTATGGATCAACCATGACACTTCGGTCGCTCGATCATTCGGTCGTTGTTGACTTTTCAAAGGGAATCAGCAATCAGCGATTCTTCTTCCAAACGAACGAACGATCTAGCTCTGCTATGATTGGTCGATAAAGGATCGATAAGGCGGGTGTCTATCTAATGAAAGGAATGGTACGAAAGACCAGTCGCCCAGGACTTGTGCATACTGTACGACGCAGTCCGGACTGAACTCACCACCAGAATACTAGGAACTAACATGGATGAATCCAATCGGAGGATCCATTCTCCTCTGTGTGCTGTGTGTGCGAGTTGGCGTGTATCCTGTTGCCTTTCAATGACTCGCTCAACTTGACTGTGCCTTCTCTACTACTGCTATCTTCTTCCTGACTGCTTTCACGAAGCCACCATGATGAACGCTTCATTCCTGAAGAGGAAGCGATGGTACGGTCCGTTCATTGGATCGAGCCGTCTGCCCTGTAATCCATAGTAGTAGTAGCCATGCATTATCAGCCTGTGGAAGTCCTCCGTTCGATTCGATCACAAAGGTATCAAAAGATGGGCTGCAGGCGTCGCTCCTTGGAAGAGGAAGGTTTGGATCATCATGGTGGTTCTGTGGTCAAAATAATCAAATCAAAACATCAATTTGTCCATGTTGATCAATTTTGATCAACATTGATCAGTGTTGAGTCAAAACATTCCTCAAAAAATCAAAAAAAGAATTGACAGTGTTGACTGATGCTGATTGAAGTTGATTTTGCTGATTTGCATCAATTTGTCAATTTTGATGTTGACAGGTGTTGACCCGTTTTGACACTGCAAAAAATCAAAAAATGTCAAAACCAATCAAAATTGAATCTTTCTTCCATGGATTGACATCAAAATTTCAAATTGACGTCAAATGCCTCATTTCCCGATACTCCAAGGATATGGGATCCGTTGAAACGTGCCTCAACTTTCTTCGTCTTTCTGTCGAGGTTGCCTCCAACAAGAAGAGGGAGCACCCTCATTCCCACAGCAAGCAAGACCTTTGTAATCTCTCCTCTTCTCTTATCAAAACACGAAACAAAGCATCAAGACAAGATGACACAACCACCACCATCTGAAGCGGAAGAGCTCAATGCCGAGCTGACCAATTTGGAAGCGTCTCTTGAAGCGCCACATCTGAATCGAGGCCGAGCCGTGTTCAATTCGATTGCTTCGGGACTTTCCAATTTGGGGAGGCGGATTGATGAAGCCCTCAGTAACAGCACGAACAGCGCCAATCGACGTTTGCGAGAACGGTTGTCGACAGCGCGGCTGGCCCACTCTTCGCGACGTCCTCTGGAAGTAGTGCGACAATCCCAACACGCCCAGTCTACCAGGCAATTGCCCTCCAACCCGCGCAGAGGAGCCGCCAACGCCACACGGCCAACACAATCACTTCCCGTGCAATCACTGCCGAGGAACTCTCCACGGGCATCCTCCATTTTGATGGCCAGTCGAGCCAGAAGTATTGGAAATTTGAATCCAACGTCTGCTACAGTTCCAGGAGGTACTACTAATAACGACAGTGGTGTTATAGTGGAGGGTGAAGAGGATGAGCTGTTTTCAAGAGAACTCCACGAACAAGCCTCCAAACGGGCTCGGACAACAATACGAGAATCTACAACCAGTCCAAGCAGCAACACAATAGACACCAACCTGGATGATGACACGGCAGAAATTCCCACCATACCGTCCAAAGTTTTGCTGACCAGAGCTCAGAGTCAGAATACCCTCAACACTTCCATTGTCTCTGTCTTGTCGCAGGATTCGATGGTTGAAGCAGTAGAGGTTGCTCTCTCACCGTCGTCCCAACAACAAGAACCAGAGCAGGGCTTGCCTGGAAGTCAAATTTATTCCTGGGGACTCGATGGATTGCTCTCCTTGCACGATGACGATAGTCCAAGGACAGACCCACCCTCGTCCAAACTAGAAAAAACGTCTCGCCTGGGGCGGGCTGGGGCACCGGCGATTGTGAGCGTGGCCATGGGAGAACATCACACGGCATGTGTCACCCAAAGTGGAGGTGTGTACGTCTGTGGCAAGAACGAAAAGGGGTGTCTTGGATTGAGTGTCGCAGCTTGCCCCAAACCAAGTCGATTGGAAGGAGCATTAATGAGCCAAACCATTTTGCAAGTGAGCTGTGGATTGGATCATACCGCCGCTGTTACAGCCAATGGAGCTGTCTTGTCATGGGGATCCAATCAACAAGGGCAACTGGGACATCGGAATAAAACACCGGCTGATTTCTGCGCTCCTCAAGCCATGATGTTGGCGTCTCATCAAGCCGCGGCTGTGGCCTGTGGACACTACTTCACATTGGTCTTGACGAACCGAATGTGCGTCTTGGCATGTGGTGTCGATTATATTGCCCCACATGGTAGTCCAGTGCCGGCGTCGATTCCTGCATTGATTGGCTTGCCTCTGGTCTTTGTTGCGGCAGGGCACAACCACGCCGTCGTTCTAACCAGTAATGGCACTGCATTTGCATGGGGAGTCAACGATTCAATGTGCTGCGGAAGGTCCTACCCCAACTGTTTCTCTGTGCCAGTAGAAATGCAATTGCCGGACACAACAGATACCACCAAGAGCAATGCGCTTCGGTCCTCCTTGACCACATGTTCGTCCAATTCAACCCAGCCCCGCAAAAAGCATCCGTTTCGAAACTGGGCCAACAAGTGGCAACCAAACAACAATCTCATCTTGGCTCCGCAACATCCTGTCTCTGAATCCGTCATGTCCATCGCCGACGACGTGGCAATATGCCAAGCCGCTTGTGGGTTAAATCACACTGTGCTAGTGACACGATCGGGTCGACTTTTGGTGTATGGCAATACAAAAGACGAAGCACCATGTCCAGCCCAAGCTGTCAATCACCCAGATGGAAGCCCTTCCTTGTTTGTTACGGCTGAAGCAGGATCCTCCTACAATCTGCTGCTGGACAATCACGGCGACGTTTGGCACATGGGGCATCACGACGACAACCCACGCTGCGTATTACGTGGAAAAGGTATTCTGAGCATTGCGGCTGGTGGAGAGGGGAATGCCATTGCGATCGCTCAAGGAGCGGTCACCCCGCGTGGCAGCACTGTTCGACGTTTCTTCTCCCTTACAGGAAACAACAATAATGTCAACAATTTACTCACAAATGAAATCAGCAGCAGCAACAAAGCCATCAACAGCACCAATGAGTTAACTGTGCGCGTCGCCAAAAACCTCGACGAGCTTGTGGACTCTCTTGCTCTGGAGAGCAAACGTGGCAGTTTGGTGGCACCTCGCCACGGCGGGAGTCATGAGTTGACAGCAGCTGCAGAGATTTCAAAGAGGACGGAAGAATTGTTGCAGAATCCTGCTGTTATGAACAGTCTTTTCTTTGGACCGAGCGAACTCAACAATATGTATACGAAACTCATGTCCATTTCCGGAACAGATACTGCAACGCAGCGAACCTTGCTGGCCGCCATGGAAAGAGGGATCCAAAAAGGTCTCGACTCTCTCCTGCCCGAGGATCCTGATCACGGGAGAATGATCTATCCAGAGGCAGTTCGATGCTTACTGGTGTACATTCGATTCTTTGATCGACCCCCGCAACTTGATAACGACGAACAGTCCATCTTTGAGAAATTCGACAGTCGTGGTACCTTGATCTCCAGCCTTATGGAGACCATTTTGTCATTGCCCTTCGAAGGTTACCAGGCATTCCTGAAATGGGCCACATCCCTTTACAACAGCGAACTCTACATCCAGAATCTTGTCAAACCTCTCCTGTTCCAGCTCGAGAAGAGTTGCAGAGTGACAGTGGATTCAGATCAAGTGATGCACACAAGTATGTCGGTTGGCGCAGTTCCCCTCATTGTATCGGTTCTACAGTGGTTGTACAATGCCTCTGAGCGTCTTGGCATTGCGAAACCTGAAGACTTTACTTGCACCGTCTTTGATAAAATCCCAGTGGAGGCGTTATACCACGATTTGTCCATGCTGAAGAAGGCGCGCGAATCGCCACAGGGGGTGACCCAATTCTATATTTGCGAGAGCCCATTCCTGTTTTCACCCGGTACCAAGCGCAATCTGCTAAAAATGGAAAATCAAATAGAGATGTTCAAAGCCGCCTACAGTGACGGTGCGGCTCTGAATCTTGCAACGGGTGAAGTCAGTGTCGATGCGTTTTTCAAGCTGGAAATTGATCGTGATGACATGCTGAAGCAGACGTTTGCTGCCATCAACAAGGCCAAGCCATCTGATCTTAGGAAATCTCTGAGGGTCAAATTCCGTGGCGAGGAAGGAGTGGATGCTGGAGGCGTGACCAAAGAGTTCTTTCAATTGCTCAGGTACGAAAGGAGCACACCGCGTGACAAGATGCCCAGATTATTTTGCCTACTAACAAACCCTTTGTTCTGTTCTCAGTGAGGAGCTCTTTGACGTCAACACTTCTATGTGGGTCTCAGATGAAAACAATACCACTTGGTTTAACAGCAACAATCTGTGGGAAGATGTGCGCTATGAGCTTACCGGAATCCTGGTTGGTTTGGCTTTGTACAACTCCGTTCTGTTGGACGTCAACTTTCCAATGGCAGTCTATCGCAAGCTTTTGGGTTTCCCCCTGGGTTTGGAGGACATGTTTGATCTTGAGCTGAAGCGTAGCTTCCAGCAGGTCTTGGACTACGAAGGGGACGATGTGGAGGACATATTCTGTCTTTCCTTTGAGGTCACGTGGACTGATGATCTAGGAGAAGAACAGAAGCGCGAGCTGAAACCAGGAGGCTCAGGGATCCCAGTGACAAGTGAGAACAAAGAGGAATATGTGAGGTTGTATGTCTCTTGGCTCCTTGTGGATTCAATCTATCCTCAGTGGACCTCCTTTGAGACAGGGGTTCTCCGAGTACTGGAAGGATCAAGCATCGGACTGTGCCGCCCTGATGAAGTAGAGTTGCTCGTGGTTGGCTCTCCAGAGCTCGATTTCGATGCGTTGGAAGCGAATACCACGTACGAAGGTGGCTATGACGAGAATTCGGAGACAGTCAAGTGCTTGTGGCGTTTTGTCAAGAGCATGGATCTGGAATCCCAAACCAACTTTTTGAAGTTCGCGACAGGATCACCCAAAGCCCCGATTGGAGGATTGGGAGGTCTCAATTTCAAAATCCAACGAGCTGGTCCGGACTCGCAACAACTGCCGACAACACACACCTGTTTCAACACTCTGATCTTGCCAGACTACGGCACGGACGAGAAGTTATCGGAGCTCCTTGGTCGAGCGATTGTCGAGTGCGAAGGATTCGGCTTGGAGTAGTGGTAGTATCATCTAACGGTACGGTGCCGTGCGGGATACGGTAGCCATACTGTAGCGTCCATAGGGTGGAATCTAGCTGGCATAAGCATGGAATCTCAATGAATTCTTCCAACTGGGTCCGGAAGTGTCCTGTACGGTAGTATAGTGGATTGCTACATGAAGATATACATGGGCTCGCTGATTTGGGTCCGTGAGGGTCTGTATGGTACTGTACTCAGCCTCGGTCCCAAGAGAAGATCCTCTCTGTCCTTGGTTGGATTTCACAGGACCCTCGCTCCCACCACTCCTCGACTTGAGCCTTGATCTCCGGAAGGGCTCCATCAATTCAGCATCGGCATGCGTGTGCACACTTCAGGATGTCCAAATGGACAGGCTAGGCTCACTCGTGGAGACAGAGCAGAAACAGGATGACAAGAAAATGTGACTGACTATTTACACTACACTCCAACCTCATCAATAAGATAACTCTATTCTTGGTCCAGTACTGGAGGTATCTTAACCTATTCAGCTACAGCAACACTGAGTTAATTCTTACTAGCAGCACAATCTCAGTATCTTTCATATCTTATGGCCACTACCTGGTAGAAGCTTTTATTACATACCCTGCTACTAACCATGCCCTGAGACAGTGAGGAGCCACCACCAAAGCTCAAAAAGGCAAAGGTGCAAAGCTAAAATTGATGAAACCAAAGATTTCGTGGTCGGGAGGCACCCAAAGATGCGGATATGGAGTACTTGGATGTAGATGGTGATGTGGTAGATAGTGGGTACTAGCTGCATTCAATCCCCGCATAGTCTTAGTATTAGCTTAGGATTTGAGACCTCAGTACTCGTAGCTTATCTTACTGGTTTGGGAAATTTGAGTGTCCGGGTTATCTAAACATTTCGAAAAAGTGGAGTACTCGGTATCTTAAACCCACTTATCTTAAGTGTGAGTGAGGAGTGTACCGATATCACTAACATGCGTTTAATCACAGGCACCAATCTCTCGAGCCCAGTTCAATATGTCCACATAACCCTTTTGCACAGCTAGATCGCACACCTCAGGATCCCATGGGCATCCATTCTCACAAGCCCACTTCAGTTCCTCAAAATGTCCATTCCTGGCAGCTTCAAGGCAGGTCGAAGAATTCCAGCGGCAACCATTTTCCCGTGCAAATTTTAGGATTTCCAAGTCCGTATTGCAGCGCGCCGATGTTCCCATCACAACCATGTTCACGGGCATATTTCAGGATTTCAAATGGCCACCACAAGCAGCACATTGCATGTGTCATCCAACAAACTGCCATTTTCATGAGCATACTTGAGGATTTCAAAATGGCCACGGGCAGCTGCATATCCACATGTGCCTCCCCATGGGCATCCATTTCATTGTGCATATTTCAGCAATTTCAAATGTCCATTTTGGGCAGCTTTTTCACAGGTCTCACCATCCCAGGGACAGCCATTTTCATGGGCATACTTCAAGATTTCAAAATGGCCACATTCAGCAGCATTGCGGGTTGTGTCTTCATCCCATTCACAGCCATTTTCGTGGGCATACTTCAGCATTCAATATGGCCATTGCTTGCAGCCGCACAGCAAGTCCACTCATCCCACGGACAGCCATTCTCCTGGGCATACTTCACAATGAAATTTATAGCTACCCTTGCAGCCTGGCAGTCTCACACCCAAGGACAGCCATTTTCATGGGCATATCTCACACATTCCATGTGGCCATTCTCAGCAGCATGGCGGGTTGTGTCTTCATCCCATTCGCAGCCATTTTCACGGGCGTACTTCAGGATTTCAAAATGACCATTTTTAGCAGCATGGCAGGTTGTGTTTTCATCCCATTCACAGCCATTTTCCCGGGCGTATTTTAGGATTTCCAGGTGGCCATTCTCAGCAGCATAGTGACACGTGGTGCCATCCCATGGACAGCCCTCTGCTCGGAGATACTGTAGAATTTCGAAATGGCCACCAATAGCAGCATGGCCACATGTATCTTCATCCCATGGACAGCCCTTTTCATGGGCATACTTCAGTATATCAATATGGCCATTCTCAGCAGCATTTTCACAGGTGGACACATCCCAGGGACAGCAATTTTCATGAGCATACTTCAGGATTTCCAAGTGGCCATTCTTGGCAGCTTTGCTGCATGTGTCTTCACCCCATTCACAGCCATTTTTGTGGGCATATTGTAGGGTGTCTAAATGGCCATTCTTGGCAGCATTTTTACATGTTTCAGTGTCCCACGGGGAGCCATGTTCATGGGCAAATTTTAGGCAATCCAGACGGCCGTGCTTGGCGGCTATCTCGCAGGTGTCTTTGGACCAAGGCAATCCTTTTCGATGGGCCCATTGAAGGAGAGACAGATCCCCAGCTTTAGCAATTTGGCTGCACACTCGACGGTAGTAGAGTTCTCGACTGGCTGTGACACTTTGTTTCCAGTATTCAGCACAGGATAGATTGTGGAGAGCAGTGCTGATGAAAGTGTCTGTGCTCGTTGAGGGCTGAGGCCACTTCCACATTTCCGGCACTCTGACACGAGGCGGCTTGTCCACAGTCTCACAAAATGCCTAGTAGAGCTGATTGAGTTTCTTGCAGGCGGCACCCACAAAGGCATATTGTCCCATGCCTAGGCAGGGCAGAATCTCGTTCACCCAAACGTCCTTTTCACCCAAGAAATCTACCATGGGAGGAGGAGGGGACAACTTCTGTTTCTTACTTGGCAGAGAGGACATGATGGCAAAATGAGGCTGCTGGAAGAGCGACTAGACTAGAGTGATCTGGCCTTTAAGACCGACCGTTTCGCGCAATATTATCTTCAGGGCTGTATATCAAATATAGTACATGTAAAGAGGGGAATCGATAGAACACATGTAGTTCAGTATGCCACAAAATTCGCAACCTCACAGTGTACTTATTGGTGGAGTTATGAGCAGTTGAAATTATCCTCACTTTTGACACGAATTCTTTTCATCTGCATATTAAGACTCCACGGTACTGATCTACGTAGGATCCTACGTGGAGGATCCTGTAAGATCCTACGTGGCCCCTTAGGAAGCACCTCCAAGGCTCTGGTACTGAGTCTACGTAGGATCCTACGTACATACCTCTATTTATTAGGATAGTCTTAATCTGTGGTGGGTCTTAATGCGCAGATCACTCTAGCTAGAAAGAGCGGACTTAGACTGGAAGGTTTGGCGTGGTGACTGACAACAACAATGATGGAGCTGAAGATGGACAAAGTCGAAAGATCAGCAATGACGGCGGATTGAGGACGTTTCGTCCCTGTCTTCTCCAGCCTTGGATCGATTGATTCTGATTCGATTCAATTCGATTCTGATTCGACTCGTCACTCGACTCGTCACTCTGATTGAAGATTCGATTCGATTGTTCCCACGCACCCCCCGCTCTGGTCCTTTTCTCGACTTCCGGCCACCCCTGGAATGTGCCAAGCATGGATTCTTGAGGCCGCTCTCTACCGGAGGGACTAAAGTAGCGACTAAAGGAATCCTTTAGGTGGTTGTTTAGTTCAAGATTTAGTCATTATCCTTTAGTAATGGTGGTGTCTACCAGCAGATGACTAAATCTCGGACTAAACAATTTAGTCGAGTTTTTAGTCAAAATGTGGTGTCTACCCTGGCGACTAAACAAACACTGCGACTAAATCCATTGCAGGGTGCTGCACTTATAAGGCCTCAAAAATGATTTAACAAAAGTGATCGCTTGGTGGGCTACCAATATTCTATCAGCAAGGTGGATTTAAAGGACTCAAACAAAAGACTTAATAGAAGACTTAATAGAATTGATTACTTTTTTGAGATAACAAGACTGAGATAACAAGACTCAAAACACACCATTGCGACACTCTCTCTTCTCGTTTGCACCTCTACTACCGTATCATTCAGTCAAAGGCGAGAAATGAAAGCCATCCCGCACTCCATACTCTGAATGAGGGATGGCTTTCTATTCTCAACCGAAGACGTCATTCGATCGTTCATCGTTTGCACCTCCTCTTCGATCGTTCATCGTTCCCGATACTCTCATCGATCGTTCGATCGCACCTCTACTATCAGCTCTGTCGCAGGCTCTGATAGTGAGGCTGTGCAATGAGGCTGCTGTTCTTTTTTAAGTGCTGTTCTTTTTTAAAGTTCTGTTCTTAAAGAGTTCTTAAAGAGGCTTAGTCGTTACGCTCGCTCACCGACTAACCAGCCTCCGGTTAGTCGGTGAACGAACTTTGTGACTAAACCCTTTAGTCCGTGGGACGTTTAGTGGCTTGGGTAGACACCACCCCAAGAGACTAAACTATGGACTAAACTACGAAATATGGCTTAGTCGCTACTTTAGTCCCTCGGTAGAGAGCGGCCTGAGCCCCATGGAGGAACCCAGGAATAGCAGAATAAGAGCCCCAAGGAGTTGATCTCTGGAAGGGCTCCATCAGTCCAGCATACCGGTACATAGACTAGTCTACCTAAGCTGTCCGGAATCTTTGTCACAGCCCTCTCCAATCGTTCTTCCATTGCTCCCATTGCTTGGGGTTGACACAGCGGATCTGACCATGGGCTCCACCAATCCAGCGGAAAGGGTTGGATCGATCCTTCCCACAGTCGCGGTATATCCCACGCACCCCCCAGTCTTCTCGGCTGGTCCTTTCTCGACTTCAAGCCAGCTGGAATGTGCCAAGAGGTTGTGTGGGTGGGATCGAGAAAGACATCAAAACCCGAACACTCATTCGCGTCACCAAAGATTTCACCACTTCCCAGCTGCAGAACGTGATCCGTGAAACCATCGCCGTCTTCCCCGCGATCTTATTCCGAGACAGGAGCTCTTGAGTTGCAGGCTTCGACAAACCTTGGGAGTGTTCTCAATATCATTACAACCTCAACACAAGTGCACAAGTAACCCTGCAACACCGAACGAGGCTTCTACTATTTTTGCTGGTTGGATTGATTACGTAATTGACTTGACTGGCTGAGAGATTGAGTGAGATTCCCCGGCGTCACAAAGTTTTCCCACAAAACGTTTTCGTTCGGAGAATTGGTTCCTCTATCATCCATCCATTATCTACCCATTATCCATTGACACCTCTTGTTGTTAACGATGACACGATCTCCTCTTACCACTGGCTGGTTGCTACTGGGGCTACCCCTACTTCTACTTGACTTCCAAAGCAATGGTGTCTTGGCTTCGGTAGCCCCCAGGGAAGTCCCCAAGAACTTCCCAAGCATCAGCAATGACAAGATGAAGAAACGATTGACCGAAGAGAGCATGTCTCAGAACATTCGTCAGATGGAATATGCCGTGCGAGGCAAGATTGTGATTGCCGCCGAACAAATCCGGGATGAACTGTCATCCGAAAATCATCCCTACGACTTTGATCACGTGGTCTTTACCAACATTGGCAATCCTCAATCCGTCGGTCAAAAACCCTTGACATGGCCGCGTCAAGTCATGGCACTGGTCGATTTGCCCGATCATGTGGGTGTCAATCATCCCTTGGCGTCACAAATGTTTCCCGCCGATGCCATTCGACGTGCCAAAGAAATCAAGGCCGCCATGGCCTGTGGGAGTTCTGGAGCGTACAGTCATTCCAAGGGTGTCAAGTTGTTGCGAGAAGATGTCGTCAAGTTTATCAGCCATCGGGATGGAGGAGTCCAAGCCGATCCGGAAGATATATTCTTGACCAATGGAGCCAGTACGGGGATTGTCATGATTTTGAATGCGCTCTTGGCCGATTCGACTTGGTACGTTACGTTATCGTTAGTTAGTGGGTGTTTTATTTGATCACTTTCTCATTTTCTTTTTGGATTCTGTTCCCTTTACTCCTGCTACAACTACGGTAACTATCCAACTAACTACAATTCACAGCGGCGTCTTGATCCCCATCCCACAATACCCAATCTACAGTGCCACCATTGATCAGTTTGGAGGCAACAAAGTGGGATATTTTCTCGATGAAGCCAATGGATGGGACCTCAACTTGCAAGAACTAGAACGGGCACTACAAGAAGCACGCAGCCAAGGAATCAATGTCAATTCCATGGTACTCATCAATCCTGGAAACCCCACCGGAGGAGTACTCAAGAAAAAGACGATCAAAGAAGTCGTCAAGTTTTGTGTCAAACACAAATTGGTACTATTGGCAGATGAAGTCTATCAAGAAAATGTCTATGATGAAAAGGCACAATTCGTCAGTGTCAAACGGGTCGCTCATGAACTGGGAGTGTTGCAAAAGGACAAACTCGAATTGGCGTCCTTCCATTCCACGTCCAAGGGGGTCTTTGGAGAATGCGGTCGCCGTGGTGGATATATGGAATTGGTAGGCTTTGATCCAGTCGTCAAGGATCACATTTACAAACTGGCCAGCTCCGGATTGTGCTCGAGCCTCAATGGACAAGTCATGACAGCACTCATGTGTCGTGGACCGGAACCGGGAGAGGAATCTTATGACATGCACGAGGCCGAAAAACAATCCATTTATCAATCTCTCAAACGACGATCCCAGATTGTCACGGATGGATTGAACCGTATCCCTGGATTCTCCTGTCAACCGGCACAAGGAGCCATGTACTCCTTCCCGGCGGTTCAACTCCCCGAAGCCGCCGTTGAAGCGGCCAAGATTGCGGGCTTGTCACCCGACACGCTGTACGCTCTCTCCTTGCTGGAACGAACGGGTATTTGTGTCGTTCCCGCCTCTGGTTTTTCCCAAAAGGAGGGTCGATTTGGATTCCGAACCACATTCTTGCCATCCGAGGCAGAAATGGAACGATGTGTGGAACTCTTTCGAAGTCATCATGAAGAGTTTTGTCAGAAATATGCCTAGCTAGGAAGGAAGGAAAGCAATGCAAAGCAAAGCAAAAGCGTACAACGAAACATGGCGCTACTAACTGAAGTCTGCCAGCCTTACTGCCTCATTACACTAATAGATTCAACCAGCAGACTACTATTCCTGTGGCACGTACCGTAGAGCATAGTTTTGTTGCCAAAAGAACCCCAAATGTCGTCTGTTGCCATCCAGCCAGGTCTGATTTTTTACGGTGAATTTCCAATGCTGGTGGCGGCTGGATTGTGTTTCACGATGCCTCTCGGGAAGAGCTCAAAGTGGAAGTACTCCAGCGGAAAATATAAGTGCTGGTGGGGGTCTCTTCAGCGTTGGCCGGTTTCTGATCCCTGGATTGATGGCATGTCCAACGTTACGCTTGGCAGCGAGCGACGATATTGGACTCTTCTTTGCTTAAGCCTGGCCCTCGCTGGCATACGTAGATAATCTTCGTGCTCTCAACCCCCGTTGAAAGGATATTGGAGGTCAAGCCACCGGCTAGAAATTAAAGATTTCAACATCAGTAGCTATTATTTGATTGAGCTACCGTACAGTAATGAACAAACACGAGTGGATTGCAAAAAGTATTCTCCCTCGATTATTCGAAGCTCTGGCCGTCCGCGACGAGAATCTTTCCATTGACATTGTCTGCAGGTTCACTTTCGACAGTGGCTGCGGTATCAACAGAATCAGCAGTTGGTTCATCCGTTGCTGATTCATCAGCTGCTGATTCGTCCTTGTGCAAAATGTGCTTCTTGAAACGACCCTTGAGGACCCTCCAACTCTGTTTTACCAATGCCCGAATGCTGGCTCTCTCCCTTGTAAGCTCGTGCAGAATGTCTTCCTTTTGGTGGAGTTCCTTTTCCAAGCTATCCAAGCTGACTTCTTTGTTCTGCAATTCGTTGCGGTTCTTTTGCAGCAAATCGGAAATTTCCCGGATATCTTTCTTGACAGATGCGATTTGTCGTTCCTTTTCCGTCAAACGAGACTTGGACTCCTCTTGCAGGGACTGGAGTTTCATTGCAGCTTCATCTCGGATCCGTTCCTGTTCTGCTTTGGCTTTGATGAACAATTCGTGTTCTTCTTCCACTTTCATAGCTGCTTCTTCCACTTTCAAAGCTGCCTCTTGCTTGATTTGTTCAAGCTCTTCGTCATGTCGAGCCAAGCGATCGCCAATCAGCTTCTCAACCAGTTTGACACGACGCTCTTCATGCACTTGCGCCTGAGTGACTTTGATCTGCTCTTTGATACTCCAAATTTCCGTCTGAATTCGCTCCGTGTGCTGATCGTACACAGGCCGCATGGAGTAATGATCAATCTTCCCCTCTCTTCGGTAAACAGGTTTGGTATGATGCTCCACTGTCTTTTTCAACTGGTATGACTTGTACTCTGTTTCCTTCTTCTTTTGTGCCTGTTTCCAGTACCGAAGTTTCTTTTGCAAATGAGAAATCTGATTCTTCGATTTTTCAGTGCCCGAGTCCTCTGCTGTCTCGGCCATGGACAAGGACGAGACTCGCCCCCTTCCACCCATCTCAGTGACGGCAAAGGCAGACACACTGGCACCATCGCCTCCCAAACTCAGCAGAATCGCTGCTGCAATGATACTGAAGGAACGAAAGATCATGGTTTCCCCTCTTTGGATACAAACTTGATTATTGATGTCAGAACTTCTGTCCGCCAGAGACAAGGAAAGAAAGAAATGAAAGAAAAAATCAGCTTGGAAGGAGGTGACGTGTCCCGGTCATACCCCCTTCAGAAAGATGACATCAGCACAGTTTGACACCTTCCGACGTTGAAGTGCCGTAATATAAGCCAGCTAGCTGCTAAATAGTAGGTATAGTTGCTCTGCAATAATACGGTAGGGAGAGAGATATTTGCAACAAACGGTGTGCACGCGACAACGTGATAATGATACCAACTGTATGGTTGGCCACCTGTATGACCAACGAACCGAGCCAGAGCTTCCCACCGTACTAGTAGTCTACTAGCTAGGATCTGGAGAACGGACAGCAACCATGGTGGACGCATCGGCCCTCTTCAATTGCTGCTATTGATAACCCAGTGCCTACAAGCGACTGGAGTGTCTCCAAGCACCAGCCATTGGAAATGGTGTTGATGGCAAAGGCTGACTTGGAAACTGTCAAAACGTTCTACGAGTTCTATCCTGAAGCGCTAACTGAAGAGCTGTTCACCAACGTCCTCAAATGTGGTGCCAAACCAGGAGTAGTTGGTTTTCTTCTCACAAAGTGTCCTGAGTTTGTGGATGCAGAAGCTTTTGGGAATGCAGTGGCTCAAGGACCAGGACCTGAAAGACCCACTGATGATGAAATCATCAACATGGCTCGTACCAATCCAGAAGTATTGATGCCAAGAGGTCCAGAATGTTGTCTTCCACTTAATTTGGCTTTAGTCTTAACCTGGAAATACAGCATTCAATTGACCCAAAGCCTCTTCAAAATGATCACAGGGAAGATACCTAAGCTCCGCCTACTGACACAACTGATTGTATCGAAAGTTTTTATTCGTGGATTGCCCTTGATGAAAACTCGGCCTCAAAACGGGCAGCAATGGACATGGATGTTGTGTTGGGGTTGGCACCAGTTCTGGATGGCAGAAGCATACACAATTTTGCTTGTCTATGTGATACGTGGGAAACTGCAGCTTTCTTTGAATTTATGAGGAAAATCCTCTCAAATCAGGGCATCAAGACTCTCGAGCTTGAATTCCCTAAACATGGAAAATCAACAGGGTTCAACTCGGGTGCATTCCAGCAGCTGCTCCCAAATGCAAAATCAAAGATGTACGTTTGCATCTACGTTCAGACCATCCGTTGGCTTTTTATTTCCTGGAACATTGCTCGGGTGGGATGCCTTGTCTAAAGCAAATGCATTTAGTCCTCGACGCTGATGTTGATGCTGCAGCACCAATTATCAGCAATTTTCTCTGCAACAACTCCTTATTGGTGGCCTTGTCAATCTGGGCAACAAGTGACAAATCAGCAAAGGGGCTGGATCCAATTCTCAATGCGCTGCAGAGCAATCATACCCTCCTAGGATTCGATTCCACTACCACCAATGCAATGTGCAACCTTGACAAATTCAAGAGATACCAAGAAATTTTAGCAACTATTCTTCAGAAATCCAATACAACGCAAAATAATGCATCATTTTATGATGGCGCGCTGATGGAACGAGGGGCAACCTCTGCACTGAAATGCACCCAAGCCAACACTTGCTGCCTTTCTACACAAACCTCAATTTTCTGGGTCGCAAATTAGCACGTGTACCAGACTTCAGCACCCCCAATGTTGGATTTGTGGATGTGCTGGCGGATGTGCAATATGTTCCATTTTATGTTGACACTGTGCAAAATCACCCCGCCACAGATGACGATGTTTTCAATATGATTTATGGGCTTTTGCATGAAAACCCAGGCAAATGGAGCAATCGAGGCAACAACTCACAAGAAGGCACAAAGAGTGCTGCTTGTGGAAGCAAACGAAAGCACAGCGTGATGTATTGATGACTCTCGCATTGATTGGATTTGACATTTGTCTTTTTGAAGTTCAGCCTGCAAAGGATTCAGTGCTGACTTTTGATTACTAGGAGCACCATACATTTTATTATTAGCTACCTGGTAGCCTGTTTTCTCCTCAATCCAGTTCACTGGGCGTGAACGGCACACTATTATTTCTAGTCCTCAGGCAACAGCAGATGACGGATTGAAATTCTAAGAGGAGGAAAGCTGTTGGTTATCTCCGACCAATGCTTCGACCAACACAGCCTTATGATAGAGCTCTGCTTATTGCGAAGTACGTTCTGCTGCCGCCTCTTATTATTTGAGATCTTCCTCTTCAATCCAATGAGGATACAAATCCTCGTTCCGAATGTCGTATTCATTGCTATCATCTTTGTTGGCAAACTCCTCATCCGTTGTACCCAACAGCAGATACTCCACAAAGAATGCTACATTGTCTGGGCTGTCCAGGGCACCTGGTGGTGGGGGGCGAGCTTTGTTGGCCATTGCGTGATTTGCAGCTTTCTCCTTCATTTTTTGAAAGTTGCCCACGACGGGCATCGAGTCCGTGGGTGCTTCTCGAATCGTTCCTTGCATCGAAGTGTCTACGACACCTGGTTTGAAGGTTCCAATCACCACCTTTCCTCCCAAGGATTCCCGAAACTCTCTTTCCAAGATCTTATAGCTGGCAAAGAATGCAGCCTTTGTGAGCCCATAGCAGGTCCAACCTGGTACAAGAAAAAAGAGGAAACAGTCAGTCAGGTGCATTCTACATAGTTTTGATAAATGATATCCCCCTGCAGTTATTCCAACACTCACCAGATGGAGGCGCGCCATGGGCAGCACCGCTGGAAACATGTAGCACTCGACCCGACACACCCGATTCATCGACAGGTGTCATAAAAGGGTAGAGCGCAGTGGTCAAAAAGAAGGGAGATTCACAATTGACGTTCATGGCATGCCTCATTTCCTCTGGTGTGATTTCGAGAATTGGCTTGATGGGCTCGATTGTCCCGGCACTGTGAATCAGATACCGAAGTTGCTTTTGGGGGCCACCATTATTGTTGCAAAGTTGCGAGACCTGGTCCACTATCTTCTGACGTCCTTCGGAACTTCCAACGTCCGCTTGCAAAGGAGTGATTTTGGGAGAAAGACCGGCAACATCCGTTTCCTTGACGGACCGAGACACGGCCAGGACCTGGTCAATGAATGGGAAGGAAGCAACCTTGCTGGCCACCGACAGGCCGATACCAGACCGCCCACCGGTAACAATTGCAATGGACTTGCGGCTTTCAGCAAGTGCCTTGGCATAAGCAGCTCCCGTACGAAAACTCATGGTACTGTAGATAAAAAATGAGAGAACAAGAAGGTGCTGGATCAGTGCAAGACGATTTGGTAGTATCACAGCTCTGAATGCCAAAAAGACGAGGAATGGAAAAAGGGGCTGGCCTTCGACTTTCGATCTACGTGTAGAAGAGGTGTGGTTCTTGGAAGTTCCCAAAAGCGTGACTGATGCTGGTCGACAAAACCAACCGTCACAAAACTCCGTTTTCCTCCAGTGCCTGGGCACTGGGCACCCTTTCTCGGCTACGAATCCAACACTGACAATGATATTGGGAGCTCCAACTGTTACAACGAAGCTTCGCGATGCTCCAATCATCTTAACCACTGACAGCAGCGTACGTTTGATGCAGTTGATGAGCACGTCTGAAGCGTATTCGGTCGCTGTTTCATCGCCTGCGGGTTGAAATTCGCAGGCATGAATTCAGGGACCAATCTCTTACGCCACACTCTACTAGTAGGATCGGCCTCGCTCTAGTAGGATCGGCCTCGCTCTCCTTGGTTGATTCAATTCGAGGGGGCTGATTCCGGCACCTACACCAGAGTCTGACCCTATTGTGCTGGACAAACGCCTTGCCCAATACCCGGTCCCGGCCAGGGCGGATTCTTGATCGCCTGTTGCAGCATGCAAAGATAAAACAGATTATGACGCAACAGGAAACTTCTCGTAGAGCAATAGTTTGGCGAAATTATGTAGCGCAAATAATAATGAACCGTTCTTGGGGGCATCTAATATGTGGTGTTGTGAGTGAGTGGGACTGCATTTTCATTCTGCGTTTCTCATCGGTGATCTATACGATGCCTCCACCGTAGCCACGGTCGGGTGCATACATATCTGGGTAATCTCGACTACTGCCATGACGTCTCTTGATGAGTGATGGTCCCTCCTTTTTCAAATCAGCCACCGTCGGTGTTCCCAAAAGACCCATGGCTCGGTCCAGTTCAACCTTCAGGATTTCGTAGGCCTTGATGACTCCATCCGTTCCGCCAGCAGCAAGACCCCACAAGTATGGTTTGCCAACACCGACAGAGTCGGCACCAAGTGCCAGAGCTTTGGCAATATCTGTTCCACGCTGGACACCTCCATCCATGATGATTTCCACATCCGGTCCAACAGCCTCGCGAATCGATGGCAAGACGTCAATTGTTGCGGGGGATGTTTCCAGTTGCCGTGCTCCGTGATTGGACACCCAGATACTGGAGAAACCAATTTCAAGTGCTTTCAAAGCATCTTCAGGGCGGACAACACCCTTGGGGGCCGCTGGGCCGTTCCATTCTCCAAGCAACCACTCCGCATCTTTCCAGCTGAATTCAGGCATAATTTGACTATTCACGAAAGCTGCCAGAGAATCGGCCGGAACATCCGTATTGATGCAGGCGTAGGTGTAGGGCTCGTGGGAGAGGAAATCGTAGGTCCATGCGGGTTTCTTGATGGCTTCTATCATTTGTGGCACGGTGTATTTTGGAGGGATGGAAAAGTCATTGCGAATATCACGCTCACGGTTACCGTACCATGTAAAGTCGACTGTCAGAGCCAGGGCATTGAATCCTCCCTCCTTTGCCTTTGCAAGCACTTCCTTCACAAGTTCACGGTCTTTCCATACGTACAGCTGAAATACCTTGGGACCATCAAAAAGTTCGCCAATTTCGGTAATTCCAGTAGTTGCCAAAGAAGACAATCCATAAAGAGTTCCATGGTGCTTGGCTGCCTTGGCAGCCGCCGTTTCACCCTCCCAGTGGAACATTCTATTACCAGCGGTGGGGCATCCAAAGAATGGCAAGCTCACATCACAGCCAAAAATCTTTGTTGACATATCCAGTGGTGGTTTGATTCCGGCTAGAATTTTGTAGTGCATTTCTAGCTCTGAATAAGCATCTTTACCGCGACGCAGACTGATTTCATCATCGGCACCAGAATCCAAGTAGTCAAAAACCATCTGTGGGGGAATGATAGGTACATGAGTTAGAATGCCAATATAAGTGATTGTCAACGCCAATCAACGCAACCCATTGGGTGTGCATAGATATCTCTCCCAACTCACCTTGTGAGCTCTGGCTTTGGCAATCAGTCTCAGATCAGCAATATTGACTGCCCTTGCCAGGCGTCTCTTGTAAGGAGCATCAAACAAAGCATTGAGAGGGATATGCTGAAGCACCTTGTGCACCCCCAACTTGTGTGGATTGAAAAGCATGTTAAATTATTTCAGACTTTGCTGGTACAATGACAACAAGCGAGCACTAGTAGCAGTCTCTTCAAAATATGACTGCTATCAACGCAGAATGGAACTAGGAATACCCAACCTGAGGTAATGCCAACGTATTTTATGCAAATCTTTTTGCTTTCCACTCTTCCTGGCTGATGTGTGCTTTGCGTCGGTTTCCCAGCTTTCTTCGGATCGGTTGCAATGCGGGTATCTTTTCCTTGCTTCAGCTACAACCATTGATGATGTTGGCTTGGTGGTGCGTACGTCATCGTGATGAAAATGTGAGCAATTGCAAGATCGTAGCCTCCAGTATAACGTCCTACGAATACATGATGTTACACTGTATTTCGATGACGTGTTCGGTATGGCATTATCTGATTGATACTGTTAAAGCTTTGAGTCTATTTGTGTTTCCTCGACTGCTGACAATGTGCTGACATCCGACTGACAGTCGCAGTGCAGGTCGTGCTGACGGCCGAATCTCCCGAGCTACCGGCACATGAGATAGCTTGCTTTGAAGGCAAGGAAACTATCAGGTACTCAAATTTGGGCTGGTTTTCTAGTAGGAGGTTCTGGTCTCAGCTAGCTAGCTCGACGAGTCAACCGAGGAATCCCGAGCAGCGGATGCGCAGAGAAGTGTGATGGACGAATCATTGAAAGTTTCAATCTGCGGGTGTCTGCCTTTTCCGGAACGCTGGATTCGATTCAAGCCCACCAATTCTATTAAAACAAGGACTTTGGAGAGCTCAGCTCGGTCGATTGCAGCTCTCGCCATGGAAGAACTCTAGAGGCAAGCAACTTTTTAAAACTATGTACCGTTTGCACCCACTCACCGTTGATACCCAGCCGACTTCCCCAGGATGCGAATGATATTGAGTTGTTCTGCCACTTACCCAACCGAGGAATCCATCCAGGATGGCCAAGCCTAGCTTCTTACCAAAGGGTTGGAACGGCATCAGGTGGAATAGAACTCACGCTCCTCCATTGGGAAGGTGGTAACCGTGGTGCGACAGCGTGGAAACGTTAGTCATGACTGTTTTAGGCTTCCGGTCACTGCTGTAACTCCATCCAAG